TTTTGTCACATAGGTAAATTCAGCACTGGAATAGTCTTGATGCATTAAAGGGACACTATAGGCACCCACACCACTTTAACTCATTGAAGTGCTCTTGGTGCAATGTCCCTGTCACACAGTCCTGCAATGTAAATCATTGCAGTTTTAGGGAAACCACAATAATTACATTTCAGGACTAACACTGTGCCTAGTAGCAATCAGACAACCACTACACGCACTTCTTGCTTGCTATGCAACTTTTGGTTGTCTGACGCTGGATGTACTTAGACTCTGCATGAGGACATCCAGCATCAGAAAACCCCCCAGAGGAAATCACTGCATCGGGGGGCTAGAGGGAAGTATAGAGTAAGTAACCCGACTTTGTATTCCTTATACCATAGTATCCCTTTAAGGAAATGGACACTTAAGAGTGTAACCCTTCCCTCTAAGGAGAAAAAAGATTTATCTCACCATTTACATAGATGCATGTAGTGAGAATGATACTTTGTGAGATTACATGGAAGTGATAGTGAGTGAAACATTGAACTGTGAGCATTCTATACATTTAATTAAAATACCCCTGAATGACAACTGCAATGTTTTACAGTACATAATGGGGTAATGCAGAAAGTGCAATTCAGGGATACAGATCTTTAAGAGGAGCTGACAGCATTGACTTTTTTGGAATTCTGTTATGTTTATTACACTTAGGGTTAAGATTTCCACTTGCCACTAGCCATTGGCGAGTGAAAATATAGCCTTGGTGAGTAGAAATTTACCCCTGTTTTAAGGACTGGAAAGTAGCACAGAACTACAAAATTTAAGCCCTGGTTGCACTACTAAAATGTAGAATTCCCCAGAATCCAATCATAATATAATCTGACGAATGTAAGACATTGTTATGTAATAGATATATTCAAAATTATTACATTATCCTTCTAGCATATATTAACCCATATATATTATTAGCAGTATTCCATTGACTGGTTTTAATATTCAAGTACTTTATTGAAAATGTAACATTTACAGACTCCCATTGCACTAAAAAACATATGGAGATGGGATTTTGTTTTAATGTCTCCATGTGTTTCTTGTGACCTGTGCAGTCACATGTCAAATAAATACATATTTAATTATGGCAGAAAATGATACAAATTCCTTTACGTTCAATTTTTCAAAATACCCATACTTGAACTACACAACAGCAATCCACCACCCTCACCTCTCTTATAGCTTTATCCCCAAGAGGTTAAACATCTCTTCGTTTCCAAGGCAAATAGATTTTCAACATTAGCAAAACTGAATTTAATTATCACCTTATTTGTCTACATTTGTCAGACATTTCTCCAACTTGTTTAACCATCTGTATGACTGGTATTTATTTAGTGTTTCAGTGAGTTAATGACTAAATTAATTTTGTACTTTATGTTTATTCATTTATAGTTTTTGATTTTGTCACCCACACACTTATATAATGTTTTTTAAACACATGGTTCTCTTGTTATACTACGTATATCAATAAACATACCATTGTTTATGAAAAATAAAATATATGAAGGGGTAAAGATGAAGAAAACATGTTTGAATTAATATAGCTTAATACTTGACAATTAGGTAACTAATTTGTCCAGATTTTGACAATAATGCTTATGTCTATAATTTAATGTCTTTATGCCACGCGGAGTGTATTACTGCTCTGAGACTAAATATTTTCAATGTGAAGGCATGTAACCTTTATAAAAATCAGGGGTATATCAGCTAAGGGCAGTGGCGTACTAAGGGGGGGGGGTGGAGCGGAGGGGGCGGTCCGCCCCGGGTGCCACCAGGGTGGGGGGTGCCTTGGGAGGGGAGCCTCAGGCGGCTGCAGCTTTGCCCGCCCGGGCGCAGCCTGAGGAGAGGGGCTGACAGGAGGGAAGCGCTCAGCGCTCCCCCACATTGTAGGCACAAGCACTGTATGGTCCGCGACTCAGTAGTTCACTTCCTTTTCAGTCTGGCCGGTACAGAAAACAAAAGCTCCCTGTACCGCTGACCATGATACAGAGCTCGGCCACGCTACAACAGTGGTAGGGAGGGAGGTGGGGAGAAATTGGGAAGGGGGGATAAATAAAGATTGGGAGGGGGGGATAAATAAAGATTGGGATAAGGGAATTGGGAGGGGGGATAAATAAAGATTGGGAGGGGGATAAGGAAATTGGGAGGGGGGATAAATAAAGATTGGGAGAGGGGGATAAGGAAATTGGGAGGGGGGATAAATAAAGATTGGGAGGGGGATAAAGAAATTGGGAGGGGGGATAAATAAAGATTGGGAGGGGGGATAAGGAAATTGGGAGGGGGGATGGAGAAGGAAATTGGAGAGGGGGATAAAGAAAGATTGGGAGGGGGGATAAAGAAAGAAATTGGGAGGGAGAGAAGGAAATTGGAGAGGGGGATAAAGAAAGAAATTGGGAGGGGGGATAAAGAAAGAAAGTGGGAGGGGGAGAAGGAAATTGGGGGGGATAAAGAAAGATTGGGAGGGGGATAAAGAAAGAAATTGGGAGGGGGAGAAGGAAATTGGAGAGGGGGGGATAAAGAAAGATTGGGAGGGGGGATAAAGAAAGAAATTTTGAGGGGAAAGGAAATTGGAGGGGGGGATAAAGAAAGATTGGGAGGGGGGGATAAAGAAATTGGAGAGGGGGATAAAGAAAGATGTTGTGAGGGGGGATAAAGAAAGAAATTGGGAGGGGGAGAAGGAAATTGGAGGGGGGAGAGAAGGAAATTGAAGGGGGGGAGAGATTGACATTTATCACACAATGCACCCCTTGCACACAGAAAAACACACAATGCATTACACACACAGACACACATACACAAGCAATGCAACCGTTACACACAATGCAGCCCTTACACACACAGAAACATACAATGCATTCATTACACACACTCAATGCACCCCTTACACACACTCAATGCATCCCGTACATACACAGAAACACACCTTGCAGCCCGTACACATACAAACACAGATTCACACAATGCATTCCTTACACACATATCAGGACATCCCCTACACACTCCACCCCCTGTGAACAAACTCATTGGTGGAACATGAAGGTGGACCCTGGGACCCAGACCTTGAGCTGTGTAAAGGGCCCCCAAAAAATAGAGCTGCTTCCCGTTCTCCCAGAACATTGATTTTTGTGACCACAGTTACAAACCGCCTCCAGAGAGCCTGTTCTACACCAGACCAGTGGAGCCAGACTGCAGCTAGAGCCCATCATCATCCTCATCTGGTTGTAAGTAGGCAATCTAGTATATTATTCGTGGCACTAATCTCTAATTTACCTCACATTAAAGAAACAGTTTAGTCCACAGAACCACTGCAGCTTAATGTAGTGGTTCTGGTGTCTATAGCCTGTCCCTGCAGGCCTTTTAATGTAAACACGGCGGCACTGCAGCACTGGCAAATCATATGGGTGGGGCATTGTGATGTCACATGGGGGGCGGCAAACTTTACTTTTGCCTAGGGCGGCAAAAATCCTTGCACTGGCCCTGACAGGAGGGGGCTGTGTGAGCTGTGGCCCCATGGTAGTTAGGGTGCCGTGCGGCCAGTACAGCTCACACAAGCAAACAGCTGATAAACTGGCTGCACGGAGGAAAAGTGGGGCGAAGCTAAGCAAAATCGGAGGCGGGGCCAAACTGGTGCTGGGGGGCGGGGCTTTTGAAGGGGGGGGCAAGGGGGTGCCAAGCACAGGATCCGCCCAGGGTGCCAAATGCTCTAGGTACGCCCCAGGCTAAGGGTCAATTGAGGCTGAAATACATGAAGGTCTGCATAATAGATAATCATTCCTGAATACTAGAATGGATATGCTGAATGAAACATGTCTAATATATATATGTATAGATGAAGGAAAATTAAGGAACTGCACTCATTCAAAAGAACACTCAAACCAGGCGCTAGAACAATCCCCACACAATGGGGAGTATACAAAAAAGAGGGGGTAGATACAGCGCTAACTCTAAAGGCAGCAAGTCTCTAGTATGGATACCCTAACAATCCAAAAATGAAAGGACAAAAAAAAAATGAAAAGAAGGAACAGGCTGCGCAAAATATGAATGTTGACTAAACAAGTGTATTAACACAATATATCAATGTAAAATAGCTTAAATAAGAATATGGTATAAAAGTCCCGAAGAGAAGCCCCTAAGATACTAATAGAAAACCTGCTGAAAATAGTATTCTTCGGGGTCAATCTATTGTCCTACTTGCTGAATAAATAATCAGGTATTTTAGTAGAGATGAGGCATTTTCTTAAAGTTGTCCCATATGAAAAAGACACCAATAGAGTAACCCAACACTCACAAGGAGAGAGCTTCCAATCAGGATGTTTTACTCCTCCCCCATGCCCCCAATTTCCATGTCGAAAGTGGGGGCATGCCCACTAAACAGAAAGTAGCCAGTGGATGTTTTACTCCTCCCCCATGCCCCCAATTTCCATGTCGAAAGTGGGGGCATGCCCACTAAACAGAAAGTAGCCAGTGGATGTTTTACTCCTCCCCCATGCCCCCAATTTCCATGTCGAAAGTGGGGGCATGCCCACTAAACAGAAAGTAGCCAGTGGATTCTTGCTGTAATAAAAGACTAGCGATTGGTCGGTTATTGCTTCCCAGTTGCTTTTAGATAATTATCTACAGTGTCCTAGATAATGAAATGATGAAGAAACACTCACAAGGAGAGAGCTTCCAATCAGGATGTTTTACTCCTCCCCCATGCCCCCAATTTCCATGTCGAAAGTGGGGGCATGCCCACTAAACAGAAAGTAGCCAGTGGATTCTTGCTGTAATGAAAGACTAGCGATTGGTCGGCTATTGCTTCCCAGTTGCTTTTTAAAATACAGATCCCGATGATACAAGCAGTCAATTGAATACTGTATTTAAACACGATGTGACATATGAGGAAAGTTCTATAACATGCCCTAAGCCTTTCTCTGTAATTATGAAGTGGTGGTAGTCGTCTCGGAGGGCAGAAAGTATAACAAATGTTTGCCTTGCCTGCTATCAAGTATTGCAGTTTACATTACTACACATGACATACCAGCTATATATCCTGTGTAGAATTGGAACACCTATTGTAAAGGGGTTATGTCTCGCATACCCGTCATAAAAGGGTTAAGATAATGATTTATTTTGCTGAATTCGCCATACATTCCCAGTCTTAGCTGCCATTAATGTAAAAATAAATAAATATTATACATATATACATATTTTTATTTGCTTAACATTAGATCTACTTTCCACTAATATTACACAATGCCCCTTTCTCATCTGCAAAGTTCTTCATGCACAGATCCCCAGAAAGGCCTTTGTATTGACCTTGAATATACTTGTGTATGGTAATGGTGTCCCTATGTAGCTGTCTTTTTTCCAAAGTAAACAAGGCTGATTTTGTAAGCCAGTTCTTGCAGCTGACATCTTCCATTCGTTTAATTAATTTTGTTTCTGTCTCTGAACTCTTTTTCTATTCCATTATGTCTTTGACATTACAAGGCACACACGTGTCTGTAGCAAATTCCAAGAATATTAATGCAGAGTTTATACGGAAAAATGAGAGCTACTGGTCACCAAACCCAGTAGAAACTCTAACAGTTAGTAAAGGTAACGGGGCTCGGGATTCTAAATATATAAACATAAACCTTTTGTTTTGTTTTGTTTTTTTTGTAATTGTTGGGATAAAAGGCTCTCACCTTAGAGCAACAGACCAAACCCCTAAAGCATTTGCTAAAGTGATTTTGGGGTTAATGGAGTATTCTGTCTTTTTTACTTCAAAAAGTGCTAATAAAAGTGCTAATTTTAAGAATATTTTGCAGTTTTATAAAGCTTCTGGGTTTTATCAGAATTGAGGCTTCTCATAGAGAAGTATTAGTTTCAATGCATCAACACAATCAGAATTATTATAGGTGCAGCATGCTGATTGACGTGTATATGCCTTGCCTCACAATTCTTCTTTATGAGAAGCATTGAACTGGCCAGAGAACATCAGTGCTGGTGATCTTCGGAGGCATAGTGGAGCTGCAGAGAGGAAACCATCTTGATGTTGGACTGGAGGCAAGGAAATCTTTATATTTCCTAAATGGGGGATGTAGACTAAATACACCTTTAAGCAATCCGTTACTTTTTGTAATGTTGGTACTATGAGGTTTTATTCATAATGTTGGTAGTCAGTGGTACCTGGTGCCCCTTACAGCATTTAGTCAGGCTATAAGCAGTATAACAATAATATATATGCACAATGTTGACCAATGCAAGAAGCCCAGAAATGTCTGTCTCAAACATTATTTTCAAAATGGCAAACTATATAAATAATAATAAGAAAATTACCTAATTAAAGAGGATTAAAAAATTTAATCTAAAATCCTTATTTACAAATGTTAAAGGGACACTATAGTCACCAGAACAACTACAGCTTAACGTATTTGTTCTGGTGTGTATAGTCTGTCCCTGAAGGCATTTTAATGTAAACATAGCCTATTCTGATAAAAGGCAGTGTCTACATTACAGCCTTAGAACACCTCTAGGTATACCTATGGAAAAGCATTAGATTGGACGAGATAGTCAATTTTGATGATCTCAGTCAAGGAGGTGGAGCAGGGGCAGAGCAAGCTGCAACAGACTCAGATGGTGCGGTAATAAAGGTGAGTAAATTCACCTTTTCCTTAGCTGTCAGGGGTCTTTCACAACTATATATGTTTGTATTCCTGCCACTAAAGTGGTCCTTTAAACGTTTTTCTAATCAACAAGGTAATCCTGGCTCTCACCTTTGTGGCCTTTGTGGCCTTTCACTAAAGAGTGATCTAGACTCATTCTAATGGTTTGATGCAAAAGTAGGGCTCTCACTGGCACCCAAAGGACTGCTGCTTTAATAAAAAATACACTGATATTTCAGAATTTGCACTTTTCTATTATCAGTGTCAATAATGTTGAAGTGTTGAGAGCGCTGGGCTCACCTGTGCCTGAGCTGTAACGGTTATAGTGCATTGAGTGCCCCTTTAAAAATTGACCTGTTGGCATTGTATAAGGCAGAAGGACATATTTCCTATGAACTGCTCTAAGCTGCTCTTAGACCTTTTTTTTTTTTTGCAGACTTATTTATTGTTTGCTAACTGACTGTTAATTATCTGTTTATGTTTCTATGTCATTAGGATATAATTATGTTTTGTATATTATGGTATGTAATATTCTGTATTAGTAAGATAATACAAATTGTTAATTAGGACATCCTTGTTGGTTTGTATTTGAGGATCCCTCCAACTAAAAATGAATTAGCTAGGAACATCTGTACTCAATCATATATATCAAAACACTTGATACTAGCATATGAAGATCAACACATAGCTCTGATTTAACCTGAATTTGAACTTTTTCCAGGATATGCAGGATGATGTTAAATTATTTTTCATGTTATTATTTCAGATTAAAAGTAAATTTAATTATTAGATTTCATATTAGATATTGTATTGACAAATCAATTGGTGCATATTATATACCGTTATAATTGAGAGTGATCTACAGTGCCTTGCAAAAGTATTCACCCCCCTTGACTTTTTACCTATTTTGTTACATTACAGCCTTAAGTTCAATGTTTTATTAATCTGAATTTTATGTGATGGATCAGAACACAGTAGTCTAAGTTCGTGAAGTAAAATGAGAAAAATATATACATAAAACTATTTTTTAGAAATAGAAAACAGAAAATTGGCATGTGCATGTATTCACCCCCATTGTTATGAAGCCAATAAAATGCTCTGGTGCAACCAATTACCTTAAAAAGTCAAATAATTAGTGATCGACACCTGTGTGCAATCTAATTGTCACATGATCTGTCATTACATATATACACCTTTTTTGAAAGGCCCCAGAGGCTGCAGCACCTAAGCAAGCAGCACCACTAACCAAACACTGCCATGAAGACCAAGGAACTCTCCAAATAAGTAAGGGACGATGTTGTTGAGAAGTACAAGTTAGGATTAGGTTATAAAAAAATATCCAAATCTTTGATGATCCCAAGGAGCACCATCAAATCTATTATAACCAAATGGAAAGAACATGGCACAACAGCAAACCTGCCAAGAGACGGCCGCCCACCAAACTTCACGGACCGGGCGAGGAGGGCATTAATCAGAGAGGCAGCACAGAGAGCTAAGTTAACCATGGAGGAGCTGCAGAGTTCCACAGCAGAGATTGGAGTATCTGTACATAGGATGACAATAAGCCGTACGCTCCATAGAGTTGGGCTTTATGACAGAGTGGCCAGAAGAAAGCCATTACTTTCAGCAAAAAACAAAATGGCACATTTTGAGCTTGTGAAAAGGCATGTGGGAGACTGCCAAAATGTATGGAGGAGGGTGCTCTGGTCTGATGAGTCTAAAATTTAACATTTCGTCCATCAAAGAAAACGCTATGTGTGATGCAAACCCAACACATCACATCACCCAAAGAACACTAACCCTTACAGTGAAACATGGTGGTGGCAGCATCATGCTGTGGGGATGTTTTTCAGCAACCGGGACTGGGAAACTGGTCAGAGTTGAGGGAAAGATGGATGGTGCTAAATACAGGGATATTCTTGAGCAAAACCTGTACCACTCTGTGCTTGATTTGGGGCTAGGACAGAGGTTCACCTTCCAGCAGGACAATGCCCCCAAACACACTGCTAAAGCAACACTTGAGTGGTTTAAGGGGAAACATGTTAATGTGTTGGAATGGCCTAGTCAAAGCCCAGACCTCAATCCAATAGAAAATCTGTGGTCAGACTTAAAGATTGCTGTTCACAGTCGCAAACCATCCAACTTGAAGAAGCTGGAGCAGTTTTGCAAGGAGGAATGGGCAAAAATCCCAGTGGTAAGATGTGGCAAGTTCATAGAGACCTATCCAAATCGACTTGGAGCTGTGATTGCCGCAAAAGGTGGCTCTACAAAGTATTGACTTTAGGTTGGTGAATAGTTATGCACATTGACTTTTTCTGTTATTTTGTCTTATTTGTTGTTTGCTTCATAATAAAAAAAAAAAAAAAATCTTCAAAGTTGTGGGCATGTTCTGTAAATTAAATGATACAAATCCTCAAACAATCCATGTTAATTCCAGGTTGCAAGGCAACAAAACATGAAAAATGCCAAGGGGGTGAATACTTTTGCAAGGTACTGTATATTGTAAACATATAGATACTTTAAATTGTCTTTTTTTTTATGGAACACTGTATTTCTAACGCTATAGTGTCCCTCTGCCCATGGCTGAATGTTCTCTAGCTCCCTCCACTCCCCCTTACCCCCTCTTCTCCAGTGTTGAAAGAGTTAATAAACCTTTAAACACTTACCACTCTCAATTGCTGAAGTTCCTGCATCTGTGCCTCCTCCGATGTCAGCGATGGGGGAAACCTCATGCACCTCAATGCTTTCCTATGGGGATTTAAAGACGTTGGATGTCCTCATGCAATGCTTGAGAAACTCCAGAATTATCTGAACCACCAGGAAGCACCTCTAGAGGCTGTCTAGAAGACAGTAATTAAAGGTAGTCTTAAGCTTTCACATGACAGGGTTAAGAGGACAGTGACACTGCACCAAGACCAGTTTGATGAGATGAAGTGGTCTCGGTGCCTATAGTGTCCCTTTAGGTAGTGGAACATCGGTATTAATCACTGAATTTCTTGGGACTGTTTAGAAAAAGAGCCTTCAAAGAATTTCTTTTTTTTTTTTAAAATAGGATTCCATATACCATCGATGAAACATTGTTCTATTTTAAGATTTGCTAATATTTAGAAACAAATCTGGTGAAATTCATCAAGGCATGTTAAGATATCTAAAAACAATATAGTACTTAAACAAAATGATTATCAAAGGTAGACAGTACAAAAGTCCAGGTTATTTCATAGTAAGGGTGTTTAAATAATTTAGCAATAACAGATGTGATTCAGTTAGCTTTTCATACACAGAAAGGGAGCCCACCTGCATGACATGGCTGTCTGTGTTATTCACAGAATCTGTACAGCATATCTCCATAATTCTATGAGGCTCTTTGATAATCAATCACAGGAGAAAAAATACAAATGTAATAAAAGTGATACAGTAGAACGCTAAAAATGTGTAGGTGCCATTGTTCTTACCCTTAATAAAATGATATGTCACGGATATATATTGAGTACATAAAAGAAGGAAACAAAAACAAATACATAGTGTAGATGGTATTTTTATTATTATTATTATTGACATTTATATAGCTCCAACAAATTCTGTAGCACTTTACAATATCATATGAGGGGGATATTTATCAATAAATTAGACAATTACAAAAACTTACAGGAACAATGTGATAAAGAAGACCCTTCTCAAATGAGCTTACAGTCTTGAGCAGCGGTTCCCAAATAGTGTGCCGCAGTGCCCCATGGGAGCCGCAAGGTAACTGTGCCTCCCTCTCCCCTTTTGGCTCTGCAGGACTGGAGGGGAGATTAGAGATCTCGCACGACGGTCCGCTAGCAGTATAATGCTGGCCGGGGAGGGAGAGAGGACCCGGGGGAGCTCTAACTTGCATCTCCACCGGGTTCTCCTCTCAGGAGCTTAGAGCATTGCTGCGGTTACCACGGCAATGCTTCAAATCTTGTGAGAATGAACTCTAGCAGCTCCTGAGGCTGCTGGAGCTCACTCTCACCTCCAGGACCACCAAGGCTTCCCCACTGGACCACCCGGGTTTGCAGAAAATGTCCTCCCTCCCAGGCAAAGGTAAGCAGGGAGGGAGATATGAAAATTATAATTTTTATTTAAAAGAAACAAAATTGAATTTGCCCTCCCACCCACACAGACCCCACACCACCACACTGCTCCCCCCCCACACACACACTACCCCCCATACACACAATTACCTCCGATACACATATTGCCTCCATACACACACATTGCCCCCCATACACACACATTGTGCCCCCATACACACACATTTTCACCCCATACACACACATTTTCCCCCATACACACACACATTGTCCCTCCATACACATAAACTGTACACTTCCCACAACCTGCCCCCCACACACACTGTACCCCTAACAAACACATTGTACCCCTCACGCACAAGCTGCCCCACATACACAGACACTGCACCCCTGACACACATGCACAAGCTGTCCCACATACAGACACACGCACACTGCACCCCGTACACACACTGCACCCCTCACAAACATGCACACTGCCCCCCTCACACATGCGCACACTGCACCCCTCACACATGCGCACATTGCACATTGCACCCCTCACACACGCACCCCACACACACTCCACCACTCACACACACACATATATTGCACCCCTCACACACACTACTGCCCCTATCTCCTTTTACAGCCCCTATCCCGGCAGATCCCAGGTAATTTGTCAAACTGTTCTTTAACAGTTTTATTACTTTAGGAGGGTACTACGGCACTATTGGCACCATAAGCACTACACAGTGCTGTAGTGGTTATTGTGCTTGGATTGTTTCTTTAAATAATCTACCAGTGCCCCTCCCAAGATGAGGTTCTGGATCTGCGCTTGAACAGCAAACATATCTACCGCTGCGCTGTACATATATACAACCTAGAAGTTTTTTTAAATTAGGGCGCCTTGGAAAAATATTAAAATATTAAGGGCGCCTTGAACCTAAAAAGTTTGGGAACCATTGGTCTAGA